GTTAGAATTCTGTGTGTAAGTGGAGTTTCAAGAGCAATGTTGCTTGTTGAGAATGCTCTGGGTTAGACTATTCATGAGACATATGTAATAAACAAAAACATATGTACCTATTCTTGTGCTGACAAACACTGGCAGAGATGATAAGTACATGATCCCACATGGAGACAACTTCAAAAGAAACACGGTGTCTCTTCCACCTCAAGATGTAATACCTGAGTAAAATTATCACTTAAGACAAAGTATCACAACAATCATATCAGGAATATAATGTTTATTTATAGGCTGTTGGTGGTGGCCCACACTTCTAATCTCAGCCCTGGGAGGCAGAGGCAGGTGGATCTCTGTGAGTTCCAGGCCAGTCTGGTCTATATTGCCAGTTTCAGAACAGCCAGGACTATGTAGAGAGACTCTGTCTCAAAAAACAAACAACACCCCCCCAGCAAAACAATTTTATTTATAAATACAAAGAAAATTCCAATAACAAATAAAACCAGAAAAATAATTGCATTATAAGGCAACAAATTCAAACCAGAGTAGGGGAAATGATTTGTTGTTTGGAAGCCACTTGATAGAAACATGATTTGCTGCAGCAGTTCTGGCTTGTGCATTAGCAGTGTGGACTGGGCTGTTCAAGATTGCTTTAACTGAACTAAAGTGGATGAGACAAATGAGAGCCAGCAAAATGGATCTCACGGGGCATAATGGGGTGGAAATAAAAATAGGAAAGGCATGATGAGAAAATGTCTGCATATTAGTGTATTTCAAAAGCGTGGCTGGGAATCACACTGAGGCATGAGGTATATAGCATGCCTCGTAAAATACAACACGAAAATGTGAGCTACAGTAAGCTCTGGGAAAAAAAAAAGTATGCCATCTTGCCAATTAGTACAAGAATGCCTACAAAGACTTGCCAGGAGCGCTCTGTGCAAAAGTACTTGAACTGTTTATAAGTGGAGGCCTGGTCCATCTCACTCGAAGATACTGTTATGTTCAATTTACTGACAAGAACTCAAACTTGGATAAGTTCAGAAACATGCTCAGGGTTATGTAACTAAAAATGATGAGACTAGGCTGTCTAAACTTGGAAGCTACAGGTGTCCAGAATTCATTATTTTCAGAGGCATACTAAAGGGAAATTTATATACACACATCATATAAGAGTGATCTTGGAAAGAAGCGGGATAGAACACTGTTTAATGAACTTTCTGAAAAGGAGCAGGGAAGTGATGGGAAAATGTATGTCTCTGTATGGTGGTTGGTTATAACAGAATTGTGATTAAGAAGTCTATCAGCATGGGTTCTGTGGATACATTCTTTTCAAAAAAGCAAATTTTAAAGGGAGACGGTGTCACTGGGAAAATCACATAGCAATTCCAGCAAAAAACTTGCTGCAGAACAGCCTCCTCCAATGAGTATGAAGAAAATGACCCTAAACCTTTCCTTTATCTGAAGATAGGAAAACATTTGTTGGCAACTAGCTTTTTTCTTGACTTTTATTTATAGAAAAGGATTCTGAATTGCATAAATAACAGGATCATTAGGTGGGAACACAAGTTTTGAGACAAGAGAAAGGGATATACAAATAATGGGGTTAATCCAAACTACTTAAAAAGGGAGCCCCCCAATTGTAATGGGAATTTACCTAATTACTCTAAGAAAATATAAATGAAGAAGTCAGAAACTGAAGATAAGCTTCTGACTTTAACATTGGAAATAGATTTGTGTTGTTGGAGAGAAGACTCAGTAGTTAAGGTAGTTAAGGATCTTGGCTACTCTTCCAGAGTACCTTGGTTATAGTCTCAGGACTCACATCATAGCTCATAACTTTCAATAGATCCAGTTCCAGAGGATATGACACCCTCTTTTGGCCTCTATGGGCACCAGGCACAGGAGTGGTACACAGACACACATGCAGGCAAGGCCCAGCACATTAAAACAACAACAACAATAACAACAACAACAACTCTGCTAAACAATAGATTTTTGTAATAAAACAGGGAAGGATGCCAATAATAATTTTTTAGGTCTGTAAGTTTAAATGCACACATATGTATATGAGTGTATATTTATAATAAGACATTAATATGAACAACTGTGCATTGTGTAAGGACTTGAAATAAAAGAATATTGAGGTGTGGGAAACAAGAAAGCTCTAAGATGCTCCAAATAGAAAATACTTTTAAATATGAATATGTTAAGAATATAGAAAGGGGCCAGTCAGGTAGTTTAGGAGGTAAAGGTGCTTGTCTCCAAGCCTGACAACTTGAGTTCTGCAAGCTGTTCTCTGTCCTCTGCATATATTCTCGTGTGTGAGCATTTCTTAACATACATAAAAAATACACAAATGCAATTGTTTGGAAAACAAGGCTATGAAAATGGTGACTGTCGGCTGGGGGAAAAAGATGTGATAGTCTGAAATGTTTTGTGTTTATCAACATCACAAAGGAAAAATACACAATAGGAAGGAGCAGGGCACTATTCTGAAATGGACCAGGAAATACCCGGTGCCCATTTATATGTGATGATACAGAAATAGACAGCTTCTGAATTGTCTGGGGGTCAGCTGATCACTGAACTCAAGTACCTGGATAAGAATGCTGTGTTGGTCAAATGCCCCTATATATTTTTTGTATAGTTTTATATTTTTTTGTAGTTTGCATAATTTTACATTTCTAAGATTAAAATCAATAATGATGACACTATGCCATAAAATATTATTTTAACTATATAAAGCTGCATTGCATCTGTTTATGCTGCATTTGTTTAATGATTTGAGGATGTGTGTTTAATTGTGTAAAGATGTGTTGCATCTGTTTCCCCTTTCCTTCCTAAGGCAACTAACTGATTGATCTAATATAAAGCTGAACAGCCACCAGTTAGGTAGAGAGGGGTAGGTGGGGCTGATGGACAGAGAGAATAAGAAGGAGAATGACTTGAGAATTGAGAGGAAGAATGAATGAAGGAGAAGAGAACGAGGGAGAAAGAGAGGGACATGCCACAGGCAAAAAGACAGGCAGCTGCCCCCAGCCAGCCAGACATAAAAAGCAGTGAAAGTAAGATGTGTAGAAGGAAAGAAAAGTAATAAGCCCCGAGGCAAAATGTAGATAAAGATAAACAGGTTAATTTAAATTAAAAGAGCCAGCCAGAAAAGAGCTCAGCTAAGGCCAAGCTTTCAAAATTAATAATAAGTCTCCATGTCATGATGTGGAAGTTCATTGGTGGACCAAAAGAAAAAGTCTGGTTTAAGAATATTTAATGTATAACAAATCTTACCCTGAACCTTGTATTACTAGATATTTTCTTATAAATGATGTGAAAAAGATAAAAGGAATAGTTTTATGGTAACAGTTGCATAGATTGATTGGAACTGTGTTTATTTGAAGAAAAATGGTCCCCTAAACAGAGTGGCACTATTAGGCGGCATAGCCTTGTTGGAGGAAGCATGTCACTGTGGGATGGGCTTTGAGCTGTCTTTGCTCAAGCTTCCCTTAGTTGACTTCCTGTTGCCTAAAAGATGTAGCACCCTCAGTTCCAGCACCGTGTCTGCCTGTACACCACCACGCTCTCTGTCATGATACTAATGGACTGAACCTCTGGAACTGTAAGTGAGCCACCCCAATTAAATATTTCCTTATAAGAGTTGCTGATGGAATCACAAGCAGAGATCCGCAACTAAGCACTGAGCCAAACTCCTGGAATCCAGTTTCAGAGAGGGAGGAGTGACAAACAAAGGGGTCAAGACCACACTGGGAAAACCCACAGAAACAGCTGACCTGAGCAAGTGGGAACCCATTGACCCCAGTATGACAGCTGGGGAACCAACCTAGGACCAAACCAGGGCCATTGAATGTGGGTATCAGCTAGGAGCACTGGGCAGTCTATGGGGCCTCTGACAGTGTAACCACGGTGTATCCCTAGTGCGTGAATGGACTTTGGGAGCTCATTTCCCATGGAGGGATAGTCTCTTAGCCTAGATACACAGGGGAGGGCCTAGGTCCTGCCCCAAATAGCTTGACAGATTTTGAGGATGCCTCAACCTCCCTGGGGAGTGGATGGGATATGGGATGAGGGGTTTGTGGGGTACATGGGAAGATGGGAGGGAGAGAGAACTGGGATTGATACATAAAATAAGGTTGTTTCTAATTTAAATAAAATATATTAAAAAAAAGAAGAGCTGCCATGGTCATGGTGTCTCTTTACAGCAAGAGCAAAATCCCTAACTAAGATTAAGAAGTTAATCTCTAAGAAAATATTTCCTGCGATTGTCCCAACTCAGATTTTCATCCTATGATTTGGCTAAGGAATTGGAACATTTACTAAAAATCTATATGTGATTCAAAGTTTTGTTTCAAAATAATTTACCATGTAGAAACATTCACACAGAAAATATGTCTCTAACACGAAAAATTGAAAACCTACATATAATTTCAAAATTGTCAGTCATATCAATAAGCATTGAGTTTCACAGTATTAGTGTAAAGAATATATAAATAATTTCACACATTCATAATCCAGGTAAATTAGAATAATTTACTTTATCACTTTTCAATTTTCTAAATTATTTATATTCTTCAGACATACTAACTTTTAAAACATTCTGTATATAACTTGAACCTTAAAGTGAAAATATGTAAGGCATCTAGCCTTTTAGGACTAAGGTCAATGAATTCATACAGTCAAGTAAACACAAGGTCATGCTAAATTCTGTCTGTGGCATTGTGCAATATAATTTCTTGAATGCATCTAGAAATACAGGCCTTCAACTGGCTTAGAGGGAATTACTTTAATATGTTCACTGAAATAATAGAAAATTCATAGATTAATTTAATAGATTGGCAAATCTGAGTGGTTTCTGTAAAGCAATATTGTCATAAAATAAAACTTAGAATGAGAAATAATTCTGCAATATATTCAAAATATGAATAAAAATTGTAGAAACAAAGTCTCAACAAAAGATTACAAGAAAACAAAAAAATTAAAACAGATACTAAATTTCTTACCTGCCGAATACCCAAGCGGTATGCAACAATCCGATCCACAGCATCAGGATTCATTTGTGTCCACTGTAGACTATAGGAGTACACTCGGTGTCGGTTCTGCCACACAGGGTTGTAGGTGTCATAATAGAACTCTGGGGCATAGGCCTTTCCTGGAAGCAGAAAGTGACTCAATGTCACTACAGACGCATCAGACCTTCAACAAACTTACTGCTTTCTTGGTCTCATCACTTTATGGTCCATCTCCCATGAGGAGTTCTCCTACTTGAAAGTCATATTATTAAAGTCACATCCATTTCCCACATGATTTTGAGAACAGATGCGTGAAGAGTTGACTTGACTAGCCGTATGAGAAAAGGAGTGTCATGGACAAAGTCGAGGTTATAGTCCAAGCAGCTCTGAGAATGAAATTTTTGCCAACTGAAAGAGGGATATTTAAAGATTGAGTTTTTTGGAGAGGCAGTCAGGAAGACATGTTTTGAAACAATTTGAGTGATAAATTGGATATATGAAGTATGTAGTAGTTTAAGTAGGCTGGGATAAGAGAGCAGTAAGGATTGGAGGTATGTAACTAAGTCATAGTCAATTAATTTAGAGTGCTGGGAATGAGGGCATTATTGAAGAGATTTCAAACACTGAGAAAAGAGAGATTGAGTTCTAAGAACTAATACAATCAAAGGCTAAAAACAATGAGAAGATAAGAGCCATCAAATTTGAGAGAACAAGCCTAGAAGAGAAAGAAAATTTAAAAAATGAAGTATCATCTAAGTATAGTGGAAGATGGATGACCAGCTGGAGGGAACTGATAAAAAAGAAACTTGTGTTTGTGTTCCCTGTGGTCAGTAGGTCTAAAAGTTAAGATTTAAAGCTTTGAAACTTGGAAGAACAAATAAGGAGTACTTTTATCAAGCTCCAGCTCCACCACAAATAAATGAAACTGGAAACATTAGGCAAAATACTCATTACCTAGAAGAGCTTCCTCAGTGCTGACATATGAAAGGAATGCAATGTTCTCCAGTTTTTTAGTAAAATTAGAGAAGGTGTACTAAATATCTGAATTCTGGGAACATTTATCAAAATCCTAGTACCAATAGTGTATGTAGGGTTTTTTACTTGTCCTAGTGAAATATAGAATTAATTTTGTCTTGGTGTTGGCCTTAGCTTTCATTTCATAGACACATTTTGGACATCTGATCCTAGAATTCAATGAGAACAGATTTTATTGTCTGCCCAATTTATGACAACTGTTATGGTATCAGTAAACTCATGTTAGTTTGTAACTAGCTAAATAAACGTGAAATCATTCTGTGAATAAACTGAATTGGTAATAACTTTCCTGGAGCAGTGTGTCACAACATTCTTGAGACTAGCTGAAATAGTTCATTGGACAGATGAAGGAATACTGAGCTAGAACAGATAAAACAATGGCAGGTGAAAATGATACAGCAAAATAATCTGGCAATTTGATTCAAAATTACAAATAAAGTTTGATAATGATTCACTGTTAATTGAATAATTAAAAATATGCTAGAATTAAAGAAGAGGTAAGATTTACATGTTAAGCAAATTGCATTTGTTGGTAATAAATACTGTCACATTATAGATACTCCATACTTTTTAAAAACCACTTGTGAAATGTCTTCTCTGATACTATATTTGTTCTCTGTCATTTGTAAGAGACACATAGTCATGACAGGAATACAGTTTTGAGCTCCGACACCCAAATATGACATCAGCTGGTTGAACAGAGAAAGAATTCCCAACATTTCTTTCCTGTTTGTAGAGCATGGATTTTTTTTCTTCGTTCTTGTGAGGATGCAAAGGATATTTTTTTACTTTTTTATGTTCTAGTTTTATTTTTGGACATGTTCCACTTTGAAATTTTTAGATTAGCTGACCTAGATCTATATCCACTATCTAAATTTGGAGATCATTTTTAGAAACACTATGCATGTCAATGTACAGATCTTAGGTTTTAAAACTTTCTTAAAATATGAAAGTAGAAGTAATTGTAGTACTCAGAGTTTTGCATAGAATTTATATAATATGAAAATAATATTTGTAAAACATCCTTTTAAATGATAACACATTTTAAAAAAATACAATTTCAAGAATAAAGCAACAAGTAAATACACTGAAGTAATTGTTTGCATTTAAAGCAATAAAATTATTTAGGTTATATGATCTGACTGACAATAATAACTAATAATAACATTGCATACTTATGTAAAGACAAAGGGGAAAGGGCATGATAGTGGTCAAGAGTAAATACGTTGTATTTCACAAAAGAAGCTGTAGGGAGATAAACAAATATGGAAATTTATCTTATCAAAGGAAGGAATTTCAGAATATGTTTGAATATGTATGATGGATATCATTTAAATTTCATTTACTGAGGAATCATTAAGTGACTTATATAGGTCCATTTCCCTTCATGTTCCAAAATATTGATAACAGAAATATCCCACCATAATAAACCATGATGAATTGTTGACATGACATGGCTGGCTAAAACATTAAGTACTCTCACATTTGTATATAAGAATATTGGATTATATTACAACAGACATCTTTGCCAAAGTATGATAAGCTTGCAAACCAACAAACAAAAATTCTTCAGGGGTCAAAGAACACAGATTATACAAAAAAGAAAAAGACAATGACTAATAGTCTGTAAGAAGAGGAAGTGTTGACTTTTACACTTATTTGAGTTGCATATTTAGGCCCAGGGAGTTGACTCTATTGTATAAGTGATGTCACCATATGTGAGAAGGTCAGAGAAAGCTAGAACCTCAGCCATAATATCTTCTAAAGACAGGTTTTACTCAACATTAAAGAGTAAGAATATTGATGTGAGTAAAAAACATTCTGTGCTATTAAATCTGAGGGAGCTCACAGGAAATTCAAGGCCTCGATAGCTTGGACAGACATTCTCTCAACCTAAAAGACAGAACTCTTCCAATGCAAATCCTCCGCCCAGTTCCAATGACTATAACTTCAGAATCCAACAAAACAATACACAAAAAATATCCCACTGGATGTGACCAGGAAGGTCAATGAGGCTAATATCGCAGCAGTATTAATCAGACAATAATAGAAACATGCAATAAAAATTATACAAGAATATATTAAGATTGGTGAAGTTGTACAATACAGAATGAAAGACAGACACTGTTGGACAACTGTGATGTTATTCTTTATGCTAAGTGAGCAAGAGGAGGATAACATTTCTAAAATGACCGCAGAGTCTTCTATGGATATAAGAGGTGGCTTTTATCTTCTTTAGCAAGCTATACACTTCTAAGAAAACTCTCTCATCAGTATCCAGTATGTTGACTGAAACAATGCCTTTGCTTGAAGAGGACATAATAATAGCCCAGGGCTGAACTATGAAACGCCATGTTTGATAATCCTTATATTTCAGCTCTTCTGAAGTTATCCACACAGTTTCTACATGAGCTAGGGCCCCTATTTCTATTATCCAGCTTGAAACCTACCTGATTATAATAATTAACTGAAGGGGAAGTAAGATAATTATCAAAATGATATCAATGAGACCATTTAAAAGGTAAACCAAAAATCCAAAACCTCTCAAATGTGTATTGATTAATATAACAAAATGTTATTAAAATTCATGGCAAACTCTTCACTACCATTGATAATACAATGACTACGAATAAACTTTAAAATAATAGGAGTCATTGTTCTATGAAGTAGAACCTAAGCATTCGTAAAGTGATTGTGAATCAGAGTAGTCATATAATTATATAATGAGGAAAACAGTGACAGACACATCATAGAATGTCAAGAGTGCATACAATAAAACACATGCACCAGGCAGTGGTAGTACACACCTTTAATCCCAGTACTGAGGAGACAGAGGCAGGTGAATCTCTGAGCTTGAGGCCAGCTTGGTCTACAGATTAAGTTCCAGGCAGCCAAGGTTGTTACAAAGAGATATCCTACATTATCCAATCAACAAACCAACCAACCAACCAACCGAATACACAAACAAAAAACCCCAACAACAACAAAAAACAAAACAAAACAAAAAACTCACATGCAACTCTTACTCCTCTACCATAGAGAAGAAGAAAGAAAACCCACCTTTTGAAGTTAGAATTGTGTTATCTTCAAGCTGGGGGTCTCAGTTTTTATTAAACAAAAGAAAGAACTATCTTAAGCAACAGTCAATGCAGTGACTAGCTATCACATCAAAAAAATTTGTTCTGGATTATAGTCAAACTGCTTTCAACTTAGCCTCCATTACGTCTGGTTATGGTTGCTCACATTGATTGTGTGCTAGCCTGGACCTGAGGGATAAAATCCAGGCTCTGTCACTATTATCATCAAATACGCCATAGAATAGTGGCTGCATCTATACAGAGAAGATACACCCCTCCACCATGTCCCAAATTTACATATAGAAACTAGGGAGTAACCTGTAATAATGTTATTGACACTAATAAAAAAAAAGGCCCTCTGCCCATTTTCTGCCCTCTGTAAGTAACACAAACTACTATTGTCTCCTTGGGACTCCTTGTATCTACTATATTGGATCATTATCTGAAAATGTTGTTCATTCAGGAAGATTTAAAGGGTTGAAATGGCTGAATAAATTTCTCAAATGAGCACTATTCATATTATATTAAACATTTAACTCAGGAATAACGAATAAATAATAAGTGGCCAATAAATGATATATGCATGTGAGGTAACAGATGGACTGGCCTAGACACTCTCAGACTGAGAGAACTGAATGTTCATGTTGTGAGCATTAACTTCTTGGCAATGGCTGCTGCTGCACACATGGGTGTTCCATTCTTGAATATGAATGCAACAAGACCATGCAGGCATGAGAAGTGCTCCTGAGAATTATAGAGAAGTCCGGAAGCCATGCTGTTTGTCTTCTAGGAACATTTGTTTTCTCCAAAACACATAATTTCAATTGATAGAATCAATTTCACTACAACTCCCAAGAATAATTACAACATCAGTGAACATGACTTTCCAGAACAGGATAAAGAAAGGGCTTCAAATTAAAAGTTCTTTTCAGTTTGCTAAGGAGCTCCAGTTTGGCTCTGATTTTAAAATGGGTGTTTGCTCAAAGTTAGATCCCAGGGCTTCTAGAAACTGCTGCTCTGATGGCATA